TAGCTGTTAAGAAAGAAAGGGTTTCAGGCCTGGCTCCAGCACATACTAAATGTACTTTTTAGGAAAAAAAAAAGTTGATAACTTTGTTTCTGGAAGTAAGTTATGAAATTTGTTTTTTCTTGTGAAGATGAATTCTCTCCTGGTTCAAATGAGAAGGTTGTACAAGATGGCCTTTAATTGTCTTTCAGTTCTAAAGTTCAATGGTTCCAGAATAGTTTTTTAAAAACTTACTGAAAAAATAATAGGTGAAATGTGATAATTTTAATCAATATCCAGAAATATTTCATAACTTAATATCTTCATAGGTAGAAACATTAGTTTCTACAAGTTTTTACCACACTAGATTTATTGAAGAATAAGTATTTCTTTATTCCTTCTTCATTTTTATTTTCTTGTACCTCTTATTAATTAAGTTCCTACTCTTTTGTTTTTGATAAATAGGCTGCCTCTAAGAATCAGACGTCACTCTTGGGAGAACCGCCAAAAGAAATCCGGCTGAGTAAAAATCCCTACTTAAACTTGGCCAGTGTGCTGCCCAGTGTGTGCTTATCATGTAAGTGAGAACTCAGTATTAATATTTTGGAGTTTCATTGAATACTTTCCATAATGAGTTTTGCTTCAGTTTTTAATTTGATAGAAACAAATCATGCCTATTGACCAATTAAAGCCTAAATTATGACCCTGGTCTTTAAAATGAAAGAATAACTAAAATGAACCCTTAAAATGCATTTTACTTTAAGGAAGGCATCTTTTATAATACTTTCTTAAGAATATAATTAATTTATTGAATTATTGAATCATTAAAAATAATTGGGCAGAAGAATTATTTGGCACAATAATTCTTTACAGATAGAATCATATTTCTAAAATAGAGGTTTAAACTTCTAAGTAATTTAATATATCTGGAGTATTAGCCAAATACACCAAAGACATACGAGCTACTCAATGGCAGAAGTGGAATTCTCATGTCCTTTTTTGGAGGGTCTCCTCAGGCCTTCAGTTCGTGTAAATTGACAGTCTTAAGAGAAAATCACAACTGTGGCTTACGCTGTACATGTACTAGGATATTCACTAGAACATTGTTGTAAACAGTAAAAACTAGAAAGTGCCTTAAGGTCCGTTGACAGGAATGAATAGTTTGTCATAAAGTGGAATACTATGCAACTTTCCTTTTATAATCATGTACTAATGGAAAATGATCTCTAAAACAAATTAAGTGGAAAAAGCAAATGTATGTATAAAATGATTCCATTTGTTTATTTAAAGCTATATATTCTTACATGTACATATTTGAATGTGTAAATGGATAAAGTAAATCTGGGAAAATAAATTTTAAACTGTCACCCCTGGGGAAAAGAATAGGGTTGGTTGAGAAGAGATGAGAGATGAATTTTGTTTTTAATGTGCATTATCTTTATTTTATGGAGTATGCTTTTGAATCTAAACATTAATTTCTAATTTTTTAAAGCCAGAAAAAAAATTAATACAATTTTACTACATCTACTATATATTTAACTGGTCTAAAAATTGATAGTTACAGCTGTTACATTAACAAGAAAGGTTAGTTTACATTCTGTATGCCTTGTTTTGGAGATTATACGTACATATGCATTTTTAAAAATATGTTTTTATTGATTTCAGAGAGGAAGAAAGATGGAGAAAGATAGAGACATCAATGATGAGAAACAATCACTGATCGGCTTGATCGGTTGCCTCCTGCAGGCGCCCTACTGGGGATCGAGCCTGCAACCCGGGCATGTGCCCTTGACCGGAATCGAACCTTGGACCCTTCAGTCCGTAGGCCAACGCTCTATCCAATGAGCCAAACTAGCTGGGGCTAGACTTTTATTTTTTAAATGTTTCCACCAAAATTATTTACCCATAGGGCAAACTTTCATTCAGTTCTTTTAAATGACTAAGACAACATCATATACTATATATATTTTTTCTCCTGGGGATAATGTAGATATATATTCTGGCAAGCTAAAATTGGTGTTCTATTTGAAAATATGCTGAATTAATGAGTTTGTACTGTGTTTATAATGAACAATTAAGCAACCTAACTAAAATATATGTATCGATTTTGCCTTTAGCCCCTGCAAGTAAAACCACTCTACAGAAGACTGGAATTGCGAGCAACATTCTGGAGGCAATCTCTCAGGAAAATGAATCACAACACACATTGGAAAAGTGCATTGCGTATTCTCAGCCTTTTGGTGATTATGCACAGGTAAATGAGTCTCAGATTTTGATGATATGTAGAAAAATTGGTTCAACCTCATATTGAGTTCACTGAGTATGAAATTGTGATTCCTATACTATCAGAGGAAATTAAAATTGCACTGATCTACACAATATTTTTTTGCTCTCCATTTGGAATTTTAGGACATATTCAAGAAATTTCCAAGTATCATTTTGCACTATTTACCTGGCATTGTTTACACTATTGGTTGGCAAACTACAGAACAACTCCAGCCCACCATTTGTTTGGTAAATAAAGTTTTATTAGAATACGGCCGGGTTCATTCATTTAAACCTTGTCTGCAGTGCTGTTGTGCCACAGCAGAGAGTTGAGTAATTCTAATAGAGACTTTATGGCTGCAGGGTTAAATATTTACAATGTAGCTCTTCACAGAAAAACTCTGCTGACCTCTGATTAACCCCAGTTTAGACCTGGCTAAGAACCCCAAGGAAATGCCTCTGTTGTTCACCACTGCTCATTTATGTAGAAACATGATAACTACAGGCACTATTCTGCTAACTTTTAAACCAGTCAATGACATGGAAAGTATTATATTCATAAGATGTACCATACCATTACCTACTTATGTCAGTTTTGCTTTGCTTTTTCCCCCCTTCAGTTTATTCTTAGTGGCTTTAACTGAGAATGTATGTCATGTTAGCAGTATATGATATGTAATCATGAGGGTCTTACGATGAACAATTCTGATTCCTTCTCATTTCCCAGAACAGTCAATAACATGGAAAGTATTATATTCATAAGATGTACCATACCATTACCTACTTATGTCAGTTTTGCTTTGCTTTTTCCCCCCTTCAGTTTATTCTTAGTGGCTTTAACTGAGAATGTATGTCATGTTAGCAGTATATGATATGTAATCATGAGGGTCTTACGATGAACAATTCTGATTCCTTCTCATTTCCCAGCGTAGTCAGCTTCTTCCCGCCTCTGTCCTCTCTGTGGGAGCAGTGCTTCCACTTTGATTTCCTGGGAGCAACTCTGTGTTTGTCTCCCCTGTCTCTAATGAACTTAGAAGGGAATTCATTTAGAACAATTGATGCCTAAATATGCTTTTATGATAGGGTACTAGAAACGCAGGTCAAATAGACTGTAGAAATGGTGCAGCTGGATGTTAGCAAAATATATAATAAGGGTCTCTTGTATACCTGTGGGAAAGGGAGAAATCTAGGTTGGACGATGATGTAATTAGGTGGCAGCTACTTATATTTAAGGGACAGCAGTTATGAAGGGACACAACCTGGAAGGCATTCTCTTACATGTTTCATAAAACTTCATCTTTGTTCCCTTACTAGTTAACATTTTAAATAATGACATATGTAAGGACATTGGTTGTATGCTGGTTATATTTCTAGGTGACAAAAGCCAAGGAAATAATCAGGAATGTATAAAATCTTTTATGAATAGTTTATAGCTGTGAAAATTAGAAACAACCTAAATTTCCAACAATTTATAGGACTGAGTATACAAATTATGTCATATTTATACCAGGAAATACAATGCAAGTATTAAAAATTATATAAAGCAATATGTAAACACATTATAAAACATTTTATAATCAAGTGTCAATTTTAAAAATTTATAAAATATAGTCCCTGTGCAATTTTTTTGTTTGTTTCTTTATAAGGAACAAAATTTATTTTTATAAACAGGAAGAAGCACAATAATTAAGATGTAGTTAAATGTATGATTTAAGTTTTAAAAGTTATTTTTTCTACTTACCTTTTCTTTTATTTCACTTTTGGAATTAGCCTTGCTTTTCTCACTAGCAGTTTTATTAGATTACTGTGGTTTTGAATACTTAAATCCACAGAAAGCCACTTTGCCATTTACACGTGGAGCAATTCTGTGATAAAGATGCCTCTTGCATCACCAGCCCTCTTCCTGCCTCTCCCTTGCTTACCCAGAGATCCTGTGAGGGTGGCTCCTCCCTGGATTCCGCGTTCCCGGGGCAGTCCCTGCTGTTTCCTCAGGCTTGTTCATAAAGTGAGATTTGTTCTTTCTCATGTTCTTTCCTCCTCATAAAGTAAACTTAATTAAATGTTACTCATGGAATAAAGTAACTAGTAAAAGGTGGTCATGTTTTAGGAATCCTTCTATTTCCAGTGCTGAAATGGAGGAGGAGGTCTAAGGGAAAGAAACCAATGTTTTTGCTTTGTTTTGAACACTTGCTACATGCTCTGCAATAAAAGCATTAAGTACGTCTAACCATCTTGTGAGCTTAAAATGACCGCCCGCATAATACAAGTGGAAAGCATAATGGGATAAATAATCTTTCCAAGTTCATGCAGTTAGGAAATGACTTCTCTGATTCCAAAGCCCACATTATGTTCATTATACCAGGGAGAAGTTTCTGCAGGCATGGGGTGGTGTTTTATAGAGACTGGTTGGTTGGTTGGTTGGTCGGTCGTTAGGTCTGCACTGGCTGCTGTGTGTAAAGATTAGGAGAAAAGGCTATGTCAAGATATAGATAGATATAATAATGCCTATTTCCAATAAAACTATCACCCTTAAAAATTCTAGTTGGCATCCAGTATTGGTGAGGTTGTTTGTGTCAGATTATTCCTCCTGCAGATAATTGTTACTAAATTGTATTCAATATGAAAGAAAAACAACTCTTGGTAGGCTCTGGAGAGTGACCAACAGCAGGCAGAAATGGAAGGGGAGTCAGTCCTTGAAAGAGGGAACCTGCACTGGATGAGACGTGTGTTTCTGTGGCTTTTTGACCTCCCCCCTCCCCCCGTTTATGCAGAAAGGTGCAGTCTTGCCAGCTGGTGGAATCAGAGGCCAGAGTTCAGGACTGTTCGCAAGGCTGAGAAGTAAGGGAGTAATTTCGGGAAAAGGGGTTTCATAAGAAGGAGCCTCAAAATCTCTGTGAACTCAGCCCAAGTGCACTTGACTGACCCGACTATGTTTGTGTGAGGGAGACTCCAGGGGACCTGGTGGAAAGCACAGATGGAAAGGAAGACCTGTGAAGAGATACACCTCCTCCCCAGCACAGAGGGGACAATTTGGTGTGTGAGTTCAGAAAAGTTAACTCCTTACAACAAAAACCAACAGTCTTCAGAGGAAGATTATACAATCCACAGTCTCTATGATATATCATCTACACTGTCCAGTAAACAAGAATTACTAGATAACTGAAAAAACAGAATGTGACCTGCCATTAAGAAGAAAGGACTCCAAGGAGACCCAGATGTTGGTCTTAGTAGACAGTCTTATCTAAAACAACTACTATAATTATGTTCAGGAACTTCAAAAAAATAAGGCCAAATGAACAGGTAGGGAATTTCAGGAAAAATACATTCTAAAAAAGAAGTATAGAATCTCTAGAATTGAAACATATGGTATCTGGAAAAAAATACACTGTTTGGGCTTAGAGGAAGATTAGAGAAACGAAGGGAAAATGGTTCAGTTAACATAGACAAATCAAGAGAAATAATTTGGTCTGAAGAACAGAGAGAAAGAGGTTGAAAACCAATGGACAGACCCTCAGGACTCAGAGGGACAATATCAAGCAGTCTAACATCAGTATAATTGGAGTCTCAGGAGGAGAGGAGAAAGATAAATGGGGCATAAAATATTTGAAGAAATAATGGTAAAAAAAAAACACCTTCCCTAATTTGGTTTAAAAAAGACTTACAGATCTGAGAAATTCAGAGACCTCCTCTGCAAAACAGGATAAAGAAAAGCAACATTTATTTAAATCTAGGCACATTAATTAATATGCTGAAAACCAAAGTTATAATGAGATTATCATGAAAGCAACCACAGAATAGTAACACACATTTTCTTGAGCTAGACTTTCTCAACCTTGGCACTATTGACATTCTGGGCTGGGTACTTCTGTTGTGCAGGGCTGTCTTGTACATTGTTGGATGTTTAGCAGCATTCTTGTCTTCTACCCATTCGATCCCACCTCCCCCAACTGAGAACCACTTGTTAAAACAACTGGTTAATGTGGGTAAATAAAAAAGATAATATATTTTCTCTTTTAAAATTTATTTAAAAACAGCATAATGACAGAATATTGTGGGGTTTGTAATGTTTGTAGATTTAATATATTTGACAACAGTACAAAAGACAAAATGGGGTGAGTGAAATTATGTTTGTGGGGTTATTACATTAGAACAATATTAACTCTAAGTAGGCTGTGATAAATTATGGAATACTTATTGTAATCCAGAAAGCAGTTGTTAAAAATTACAAAGAAGTATAGCTAAAATGTCAATCATTTTATTATCATGGAATTTTAAGAACATTTGATTAAGTCAAAAATATCAGGAAAGGAGAGAAAAATAGGATGAATAGAAAACAAATAGCTAAGTGGTAAATCTCAATTGAATGATGATAATAGTTAAATGAAAATGGACTGTATGTCCAATTAAAACAAAGAGATTGTCAGAACAAGGCAAAATTGTACATTTTTACCACTTCTATTCAACCTTTTACCTAAGGTTTTAGTGCAAAAAAGTTTTTAAAAGTATGGAATAGGAAAGTAAAAGTGAAAATGTCTCCTTGCATATGACATGATTCTTTACATTAAATTCTAAGAATCTGAAAAACAATCAGACTAATAAGTAAACTTTGCAAAGTCACAAGATAGAAGGGCAATATGGAAAAAAAATGATTTGTATTTCTCTGGGACTCTTACAAGGCTATGTACATGTGTAGGATTGCACATGCTTAGGAAAGACCCTAAAATGAAGACAAAATTGTCAGCTCTCTGGCTGGGTTGAAGGCATGGTCCAACACACACACACACACAGCCCCTCAACAAAGTCAATAAGCAAAGTCACAAGATAGAAGGGCAATATGGAAAAAAAATGATTTGTATTTCTCTGGGACTCTTACAAGGCTATGTACATGTGTAGGATTGCACATGCTTAGGAAAGACCCTAAAATGAAGACAAAATTGTCAGCTCTCTGGCTGGGTTGAAGGCATGGTCCAACACACACACACACACAGC